GGCTGCAGCCCGCTCCCGCGGGCTCTCGTCGCTGTTCACCGTTGTCCCCTGCTTGTCGTGCCACACGGCGGCGCCGAGCATGAGCGCTTCCACGCCCGGCTCCGGGCCGGAGCCCAAGTCTCAGCCAGTGCCCGAGCCTGAGCCGGAGAGGGTGTCAGAACAGGTGTCTGAGCCAGTTTCTGCGCTGGTGCCAGGATCCGAGCCTGAGTCCGAGAAGACGTCCGCGCCAAGACAGGGCTTCAAACAGGGATCGGAACTGCTGCCGGGGTTGGGGCCGGGGTCAGGGCCCCGGCTAGAGATTGGCTCAAGTGTAGGGGCTGGGTGCTTCACCAAGGCCTCATCCGAACAGCCACCAGCGCTGGGACCAGTGGTGGGGAGAGTGCCCTTGAGCAAACTCGAGTCAGGGTCGCAGCCCGTGTCAAAGACCCCGCCTCTTCTGCGACCAGGACAGGAAAAGATGGCTTTGGGGGTTCCAACGTCAGGGTCAGCTATGACCTCCACCGCCCCAGTGGCCTTGCTGCCTCTGGACAGCTTCAAGGGCTGGCTCCTTAAGTGGACCAACTACCTGAAGGGCTATCAGCGCCGCTGGTTCGTGCTCAGCAACGGCCTACTGTCTTACTACAGGTATGGAAGTGCCAGGGTGGGCCATATGAGTTTGGAGAGTGCTGATGCTGCAGTGATGGTCACAGATGGCATCCAGGGTTGGAGGACACTACTACTAGCTTAGGGATGTTTGGGAACATGCATTCTAGGAGAAGTAATGCCTTCAGTGGGGGGCATTGACCTTTGGCAGAGGAGTCCCCTGTCGACATAACCTCTGGCAGGCCTGGGTTTAGGGTATGAGTAGGGAGGAGGAGTGAGGGAGTAATCTGGGGCCTCAGGGCCCCTCTGGTCTTGGTAGTGGTGGGACCTGGGGCAACTAGCCTGAGTCAGGCCCCCAAAGTCCTTGATTCAGGAGCTAAGATCATTGTATTAGGGATTGAGGGGGGCAGTAACCTTGTTTAGTCCTTGGGACTCACTCACAGAAGGGCTGCCTTCTGTGGAGACCCGGAAGTGTCCCACTATGGCCTTTCTTATTCCAGAAGCACCATGAGATTCAAAACTGAAGTTCAGTGGTGGGATAGGTAACACTGCTCTCTGGAATGGTTGAGAAGATAATGATATGAAGGCTTTCTCTCCTTTCTTACTGGCTGTTGCCTTGGTATGTTTCCTGGCGATGGTTGGTTCGAACTTTGAGATCTCAGACCACTCTATATACCATTGGTTCTCAAACCTGAGCGAACATCAGCATTATCTGAAGGGCTGTTGAAACACGAGATGCGCCCCCCACCCCCCCCACACACACACATTGAGTCTTTGATGCAGTGGATCTAGAGGGGCCTGAGTTTTGGCATTTCTAACAAGTTCCCAGGTGTTGTTGCTCCTGACCACAGTCTGACAAGCACGGCTCCATTATCATTGCAAACAGGAGGCCGCTGCCTTGTTGTTTACTCACTTCGCTCAGGCAGTATTCCTTCAGGTCACCCGCCATAGGGCTTGTATGGTCCTTCCTAGCCTTTTTGAAACAACTTTTAGAGGATGGTTGAGTCTGTGGTGCCCCAGAGAATTCGGGAGCTCCACTGAACTTAAGTGTTGGTTCTCATTCCATAATGGGGACCACCATGTTTAATTCCTGGCAGGGGAGAAAGCTGACATGTGTTTCTAATGCTCCCTTTTCATGTGGGGTGTTGTCTCTTGGCTCATTCAGCTGCACCAGACACATCACACAGCACATAGTGTTCTTAGAGTTAGGCGACTGAGCAAAGAGAGATCTTTTTCCAAATGGTGTTTTTATCCCACTTACCATACTGTCAGGTAAGTAAATATTTCACTAACATGCAATGAGAGCAATCATAAGTGATTTGCTATAAATAGGTATCACTCTGTTTTCTTAAAGGCAAGGGATATAACACATAGGGTATATCAGCTGTGGACTACACACCTTGTTTTACATTATGTTTATTTATTCATCCTTATAACCACACTGTCCGGTAGGCTTTAGGATTGTCCTCTTGTACAGTTAAGGGGTTCTGAGGTTTGACGGGGACAGTGAGCAGTGAGGAGAGATTCTGATCCAGGACTTTTGCACTCTGAAGTCTGTGCCTGTCCCAGATGTGTGCCCTAATGTTCACTCACTCACCCTTGAGTTCAGCATTTCTGAGCTATCTGTATTTTACCAGGTACTACTAACCTAAAGGAGTCATGGTAATTTTATGAGTACAGGGTCCCACAGTGCCAGGAAGGCCTAGTTCTGGTGGAGGTAAAATCTGACCTCATGCATTTTTGTTTGATTTTAATTGGAAGAGCAAAGATTTCCCATCTTCTTCTCTTAAAATAAGTTGTACAGACTTACCTCATTGTATTGTGCTTCGCGTTATTGCACTTCACAGATGTTACATTTTTTATACAAACCGAAGGCAAGACCCTCCACCAGCAAAAAGATTGCAACTCACTTTATTGTGACATTCACTTTATTGTGGTGGTCTGCAACCAAACCTGCCTTATCTCCACGGTATGCCTGTATAGACAAGTTGGCATTTCAAGGTAATCTCAAATGTGCAGATTCTCTGGGTAACTAAGAAAAATTCTTATCGCTTGCTGATAAGGTTTTGGGGACAAGTACTGGTTTGGAGAGAGAAGGATGTGAGAACGAGTTTCTTGCGTGTGTGCTTGCACAGTTCAGCTCTGTAGTTTCATTTTTGGGCATTTCTAGATTCTAAAGTGGGCAGAATTATTGCTTGACTTGCCTGTGTGGAATGAATGATTCCTGATATTTGTACAGCCTTACGCTCTCATTTAGTCCCATGTGAAGCTGGCCATGAAGATGTCTTCATTCTCATTTTATAAGAAGGGAAACTGAGGCAGAATGAATGAGCTTCAGTGACTTACTTAGAGGCATCCAGCTTGCAGGTCGTGCCTAATGCCACTGGAGATGAGTAAGTTTCCATGTGCTGAAAACACCCTTCTGAGGTGGAGCCCAAATTGCCACTTCTTCCATGCACTCCTGCTCTGCCTTCTGGAAGACATTCTGGTCTGCCCCTCCTCTTGTCTCTCGGCCCTTCACATGTTTGACAAAACTCTCCTGTTCCTGATTCTGATCTGAATTCTGGCTTCTAGACCAGGCACGACCATCCTGCATGCTGGGGTCGAGGACTGAGCACCCTCCAGGCCTGTCACTAATAATTCTAACAGCAGTGAGGTGGGTTATCCAGGGCTCTGTCTGTGTCCAGCATCAGCCTTCCCAGGTCTCCAGCTCTTCACGTGTCTGTGGCTGGAACAAAGGCAAGATCAGGGGCTTGTAAGCTCGAAACAGAGTGAAATAATTTTTATTCATGATCTCCTTTTCTTAGGGGCCAAATAGAGTCAGATTTCTCTGCTGGGGTGATGTGGCTGGTGGAGAAGGAATCAGAGTCATTTCTCTTTCTACGCTGCCATTTGGAAAGACTATTCTCTAATAATTTTTTAAAAACTAACTGAAGCCTGGTGTTTAGAGGAATGTATTTGGAAAAAATATGGGCACATATTTCTTGTACTTCTGCCCCTTCCCATCCTCCAACCTGCCCCCCTCCAGGATACCACCATCCCAAATCCTGGCCACCATCACCTTTCTTTCCTTTTTATTTAGTTTTATCTTATCTACATGCAATTAAAAAACTCTTATTTTTCATTTCAACCATTTTTAACCTTATAAAAAAGAGTATATGTACTGTATACGATTGGTGGGGGGCTTATGTTGATTGCTTTATAACAGTCCAGGACGTGAGGGTACCACTTTTTATTTACACATTTTCCTCTTGATAGGTGATTACGAAAATTCCTGGACACATGCAGGAATTCTTCTTGGATGAAATTGCTGAGATATAGAGAATGTGAATGGCCTTATATAATCCTGAACTGTTTTCCAAAGTAGTTGTACCAATTTATACTTCCACCAGCAATGAATAAGAGATTTTGTGGATCTATATCCTTTGCAAAATTTGGCATTTTCAGCATTGATTTTTGTCAAACTAATGGGTATACTGCAGTATCTCATAGTCTTGACCTGCATTTCAATTCTTATTATTTTTACCTTAATAGAAAATCAGTGGGAGGTTGGATTAGAATTTCTCCATCGAGTGTGGTTTCCTTGGGTATTTCTGCCCTGGATTTTGCTTGAGAAGCTCATTTGATCACTTAAGCTCATTAGAAGAGAGAAAGGCATAGTATTAACAGCTGGGCTTGGAAACATTCATATTATCAGGAATAAAAAATTGCTCTTTGTAAATGTTGTCACATATAGAAAGAAATTCTGAGAAGTATGGGTAATTGTTGGCAGATTTTTAGTTCTTCCCAACAATGTAATAGGAACATAAATAAATACAGGAGACAAGGTTCTTATACATTACTTAACACTCAATCACATGTCTATTCAGAAACCAACCAGGAGAATATGATTTTGTGTTCAGTTTTGTTTTGTTTGTTTGTTTTGCTTGTTAGTTTCTATTTGAAAAATTTTACCCTCAGTTCTCATCTCATAGGACACATGTAATTACATGAAATTAGAGAAAAATTAATAAATGATGTGGAATTTTCAAAGGTATTGGCTTCAGCAAATCCTTATGGTGTGTGCCAACCATAAGCTTTAGTTAAGCAAAGTTAATTTAGTTAAGCAAAATTCTGTTTTGTTTTATACCAATTGCCTGTTTGGTGCCATTATAAATGACATTTGTTTCCCAGAAAACGATTTCAAACAGAAGCATATGTTTTTATTTATTTATTGTTCCGATTGCTCTATGGGAAGGAATGGCTAAGCCAGTAAGCAAAGAAAGTCTCAAAGAAATTAGTCAGGGTTCGTGAGAAAGAAGGCTGCAGTCAAGTGAAAGTAAGTTTTGTTAAGTCCCCTGCCTGAGAAAGACCACTGAACACGTGGTGAGCTGGGCCCTTTTTGGAGTGGTGGCCAGGTAATAGAAGATGACACACCAAGATCTCTTTGCCTTTAGGATGGATCACATACTCATTCCTCCAGCGAGGCCAACTCTCAAAGGCAAACGTTCAAGGATACTTGGCTCCAGGAAATGGTGTTTTCAATGTCAGTGTAGGTAATCCTCGAAGGACAGAGATGGAAAAGACTATTTAGTTGCAAAGTGTCCCTGAAATGTAAAGTTGAAAGTGCAAGTCTGAAAGTTAAGCTGTTGAGGTCTCCACTCTGGAAGGTAGCCTTATTATATTGGATTTAGCTTTAATTTGAAATACAATTCAGTGTTTCATGCTATGAGATCATTAGGAGGGTGAAAAGGAGCACACAGGTTGATAATGTGTAAACATTTGTTTGAAGTATATTTTCTTAGCATTTAGCAGACGGGTATTACAAAGAGGTCATGAGTGGACTAGCAGCATATTTTGGAGGAGTACAATGCACAACAATGTTCTTAGCAAGGTCTAGTGACACAAATTGTAATTTTCCCCACAAAACCTGCTCCTCCTCCTACCTTCCCTCTGTCTATGAATAGCTGAAAGCTTCTGAGTCATGCTTGCTACCTCCTCCCTCATCCCACCTCTGATGAAATTGCCATGCCTTGCCCTTCTCTCTCTTCTAGACCCTCCTC